TGAGGTCACCGCCTGGGCCGTGCCAGCCTTCCATCTTTCAGTTTTGCTCATCAGAGAAAACCTGCCTGGCCCTTCTGCAGGAAGGAGGGGTCCCAGAGCGCCTCTCTGTGCAGCGCTGGGCGTCTGGAGGCTGGGAGGGCTCCAAGGGGGCCAGGCAGCTCTTCAAGCTGAGGGGGAAGGCCTGGAATAATTTCTCCTCCTCCTCTTCCTCCCCCAGGTGGACGAGCTGAAACAAAAGCTGGCTCAGCAAGAGAAGGCTGGCCAGGCCCATCAGCAGAAAGCTAAGGTAAGCCGCGGGCCCCGGAGCGCGTGCAGCCGCTTGGCCCTCCAACACGAGGCACCAGGCCACATCCCCTTTAGTCACAAATCTCACCGATTGGCTTGCACAATCTTGTTTGTTTGTTTAGTTTGCACTGCGTTCTGCTCCACTGGGTGGTTTGCAAACAAGAATTCCAAGGAAACCCAAGATGCAGCAGCGAGAGCACGGCAGTATAACAGCAGCAGGGCGTTCAGCCACCCCAAGGAGCGCGGAATACAAAAGCAGGCGAAAGCCCAACGGCCCAGCTCCTCCGTAAAGCTAAAATAAAATACGACCCACCCCCAACAGTCAATCTAAATGGACTCCCTTCCCCAAAGTCAGCTTGAACAAACCTGCCTCGACATTCTCTCCAGAACCCAAGGGGGAAGGGGCCAGGCGAGGTGGGCTTCCACCACGCTGGGGCCATCAGGGAGAAGGGTTGACCCTGGGCCACCCTCTCCCTGATCCCGCAGGGGCAGGCCCTAAGCATCCTTGCCCTGGGAGCGCACACAGATGGACCTGATTGCTTTGGAGGACCCTTTTGATCCCTAAGGGAGACCTTGGGGTACAGAATTAGGCTCTGCTCTGGGGTGGCACAGGAGGTTGAACCATAAACTGCCAAACTGGCTACAAATGCAAATAGAAAAGCTAACCAGAGTTCAGGAGGGACACATGTGGAGCGCTTTGGTGGCTACAGCTCAGCTGTATCTCAGTTAAGGCTCGATTACGACTCTCCCGGTTGAAGCATTGGCTTCAACGAATTTGGGGAGGTGGACCCCCAGCCCAACCAGTTCTGACGGGCAGATGCCAGTCGTCTTGGAAGAAGCAAATAACGGATGGGCTGGCTTGGAGGAAGCCTGGAGGGAGCGTTGGTAGAGAATTTGATTGTGATTTGCAGAGAGGCAGAGCCAGCCCTTCTCATCTTTGCTGTGACAACCTTGCGCACTCCCCTTTCCCATTCCCCCAGCACTGGGATCGTTTATTAGACCCGTCTCGCAGAAGGGCCTTCGCAGTGGCATGTGAAGCAGCGCTTTCTCTCAGTGGTGCTGCTGCGCAGTTGCAGTGGTGTCCCTTACCAAGAGCGCTCGCGTATCTGCTCAGACTTCCACATTGAGACGGGGCGCAGGGGCTTCTGAAATGGCCCATCTGTCAGTTTTGCAGGGCAGAGTTGATCTCCCTCTAATTACAAGCAATTTCAGACCACACTCGTGGCAATTGCACACTTCCTGTTCAACAACCAGGTCTCTAGAACTGTTGCCAAATTTTGTGCCATCACTAGGGCAATTAGAAGTTTCTGGACATGATTGTTTCCTGAGGTGTGTCTAGTGCAGGCGTGAATAACTTATTATATGATTAACGCAACACAATGGATTTTATAACTTCTGTGTGTTTGGTTGATGACCGTATGTCTAATGAACTAAACTAAGCACGGTTAACCTTCACCAAATTTAGCACGTTGCAGCTGCTTGATCTTTAATGTAGCCAGCCATGCCCTCGTTGCAAGGCTAAAAGGGGAAGGAAGAGCCTTGTGGGTCTTTCTTTGCCCCTGGAAAAGGAGGCTGAGGTGCAGAGGCAGGAGGCAAACCCTTCTGTACCCTGCCAGGCGTCAAGTTGAAGCCTTAAATCCAGGAGAGGAAGAAGCGTGAAAAGTCGCCCAGGGCCTGGGGCAAATAGCTGCCTGGGGCTGCCTGACTGAGGCACTTTTCCTCTCTGGGGTTGTGAGGAAGCCACTGCTCTCCCTCTCCGTAGGTGCGTGAAGAGGAGCTCCGGTCAGAGATGAAGCAGCTGAAGGAGAAGACGGCAGATCTTCAGACTCAGCTGGCGCAAAAGGAGCAGGCCACCGAGCATTACAAGGCTCAGGTAGCAGTCCGAGGCGGCATCTGCTGCCTCCAGGCCAGGGGGAGGGAAGGGCTCCCCTCCGGAGCTCTCAGCACGGAGGTTGGATGGGGCCTTCGCTTCCTTGCCTGCAGATGGAGAAGGCAAAAACGCACTACGACGCAAAGAAGCAGCAGAACCAGGAGCTCTTGGAGAAGCTGAAAGGCCTGGAGCAGCTGGAGAAGGAGAACACTGAGCTGAAGGCGGAATCGGAGCGCCTCGCCAAGGAGCTGCAGCGCATGGCCCTGCAAGCCACGGAGTCAGAGCTCAGCCTGAAGAACCTCACCAGCCAGGTCCGGGTCCTGCAGGCGCAGGGATGCCGGCGGGGGGGGGGGGGGGGGGGGGG